TCCTTCCAGCCCTAATCTGTGCGTGAGAGAAGCTGATACAGAGTGTGCTGAGGAGGAGGTGGCTGTCTGCAGGGTGGGCTCGGCCTAGGGCTAGGCAGGATCGTCCTGGGGCAGAAGAGCTGATGGATGTGAAGTCCGGGGTTTCTTGGCTGGATGCAGGGGACCTGCTAGCCCCATCTTATTTAAAATCTCTCTCAGGCCTTGGATTTTAGCTACTCCCCACATCCTTTCAAGCTCAAAACTCAGAAAAGTGCTTTGTTTGGGTCACACAGAACCCTGGAGCCTTGAGTGACCCATGAGATGGTTTCAGAGTGAAGCAGTTCTTGGGACCTTCCAGGAAACACTGGCTCCTCCAGGAAGCCCACCTTGATTTTCTGATGTTTCCTTTCTCCCCCTCAGTTTTGTTCAGATTCCCAGAGCCTTCCCCATGGGAGGGATTGCAGCATGCTTCCCGTAGACCTGAGGTTCTTCCTCTTTTTTCGTGACAGGAACATTTCAGTTAAAGGCTAATGAAAGTAAAGATTGACTTTTTTCTCCATCCCCAGTTCAAAGACCCCTGAATTCCATCCATCAGGCCACAGAGATCATTTCTAGCCTCTTAATCTCCCCTCCTCCAGACTTAGCCCATTGTCTAGTCTTGGGACCCCTTGTGACCCCCAGGGTCTGGAACACAATAGGTGCCTGGCATGTGCCTTTGTGGGTAAAAATAGGCCTTGCAGGTCCCCTCGAAGTGCAGACCTGCCCCAGCTGGGGGTAAGCCAGCTGGGACCAGATGCTTCCTGAAGGAGGGGACGATGCAGGTGCTGGAATGCCTCACACGGCCTCCTGCTTCCCAGCAACTGCTTGAAGCTGGGCCTCAGCCTGCAGAGGAAGAAGACGGTTCCAGGCTGCAGGGCTCAGAGGGGACCTTTGGGCCTGGTTCACAATGGACGACAGGGCTCCCGTGCAGCCTGTTGAAGATGCCATGTGGCTTGCAAAGTCTGGGGCTCTGGTGCTGGCCTGTGGGCTACCAGCAGCATGTTCTTTGGCCCCAAATGGGCATGGCCGTGTGCCCCTCATCCCCAGCCATGTTTAGCTGAAGCTGTCCTGCTTGACAAATTGGCCATTTACTTCCTGCGCTGGAGCTGGAGTGGCCGGCCCCCGAAGAGAGACTATAATTAGCAGAGAAGAGTGGATGGGATTGCACGCTAGCATCAACAGTTAATTTTATACTCACATGGAAACATAACTGATGTCCTCGGAGATGTAAATATCATTTGGAAATCTTGAAGTGCCTGGGAGGGGTATACCGGCCTCTCCCCGTGCCTACTGCCCCTGGAACCCTTGAATGAGGAGCCCAGATCAGCGTGTGCTGTGTGCGAAGCCGCCTTGGGGACTGTCTGCTGGCCGCTGGGAGGGCTGGACCAGGAGACGCGAACCTGTGATAGCTCAGTACACAGTGGTGCGGGAGTCCAGAGGTTTGGGTCTGCATTTGCCACAGTAGCTTTCCTATGGCTTTAGTGGTCTGGAAATGTTGCAAGGCTGACTAGCAAGGAAAATGTGATCTTTTGTAACAGGAGGGAGATCAGACCAAAGGAAGTTTTGTTTCCTCCTGGCAAGGCTGTTCTGGAGTGTCCGGGGGGCTTATAAAAATAGAAGAAGCCACTGACTGCCTTTACAAAGAGGGCTGGGGTCAATTCTGCTCAGAATGGAGGCCAATGACAGCTTTGGTGTTTTGGAGATGGTTTACGGTACTTTAATCCAAAAGCATAGCCTCAAGCGGGAAGGAGGGAGGGGGACAGCCTAGGGCACTGGGAAGATGTCAGGGCCTGTGTCCATCCTGCCCAAGAAGAGCTTTTTTTTTTTTTTTTTTTTTAACAGCAGGAAACAGAACTCTCAAAAGTATACGGAATCAATCCTGAAAATATTGAGATGTTATCTTGTTGGTTCAGTGACAACCTGAGAATCGTACTTTCCCGAGTTTTTTTTTTTTTTTTTTTTTAACAGCAGGAAACAGAACTCTCAAAAGTATACGGAATCAATCCTGAAAATATTGAGATGTTATCTTGTTGGTTCAGTGACAACCTGAGAATCGTACTTTCCACCAAGATAGAGGGTAAAGCCCCACCTCTGTTGCCCCCATGGCCTTGCATATTGGCTGCACTCCTGCCTGCGCTCTGAAGATGTCACCTCTTTGTGGGGTTCTTCTTTAACCGTCATCCCCAGGGTGAAGGGGTGGAAGGATCTCTGGGCTCTGTGTCTGGTTCAGGGTTAGGGTTGAGTGAGTGATTTCTTGTAATTGCACTAATTCGGAAGGGGAGGATTTGGCTTTCTAAAGCTGCTTGCCCTTGTTCTCAGAGGACCCGCAGGGCTTAGGCCAGCCTTGAACAATGATTTCACCATGTTCTGGGTTTTGGAGCATGAAGTGACCAAATAACTCTGGTTAATCTTTCTCTGTCAAAGGTAGATTTTATTTCCTGTGGTCCCCATTTTCCTATAGAGGGCTGTGTGTGTGTGTGTGTGTGTATCCTGTCTTATAAATTAAAAAATTTACCCAACTGGGTAATTTGGATGACATCATTTCACTCACGGTTTTCCTGATATGGCCAACTTGTTAATAAGTGGCTCACGGCCAAGTTTGTCAATGCCTTTCGCACCTATTGGCCCATGTGTGTTGGGAAGGCATTCCTTTTAGACCAGGGGAGTGGGTCTCAGTAGTCCCAGATTATCCTTTCAAACTAAGGGGAATGGCATTTAGCTGTGAAATACAGCAGAACCCTGGACCCGAGGGAGATGGCTTCCCAGTAATCTCCTGTTACCCAGTGTTTCTAAGTAAGGTTGGTCTGTTTGACTTTTGGCATCCCCACCACTTGTCAAAGCTTAGGAGAAGCAGGCACTTCCCTTTACCCAGGGCAGTCTTGGTGCTCTTTAGAAGGCAGTCAAGGGGATCTACTTTGAGGGCACATTGTAGCCAATTTAAGGCGAGGGTAGACCAGGAGTAACTTGAGGGGTTCCAGATGTTGACTCTAGGGTAGCTGTGCTCATGGCATATCTGGCCCACATCTTGTCTGTATTATCCCTCATTTCCTTTACTCAGACCTTTGCTGACAGCACCGTGGCTTCCAGCTCCTCTCCCACACTGCCTTCTGCTCTGTGAAGTCCAGGGTATCTGCTCTTGGGAATGTGTGGCCCGGAAAGTCAGAATGCTTGGACGGGAAGGAGGCTGGGTAGACAGCGGCAGACTCAAACCCAAGGGGGTCTATTGGGAAGCCTGGCTTGCATCCATTCGACAGACATTGATTGTAAATGCCTGTTGTACTTCCTAAATGTCAGGGCTGTTCTGGGTGCTGACGATGCCCGAAATGGTCGAAAATCCCTCCTAGCATGGAGCTTATGTTCTTGTGGGGAAGACAAACAATTAAAAAATAGAACAAAAAATGTAGTATGTTAAATACTTGCAATTACAAAGGAAAAACATAAAACAGGAAAATGGGATCGGGAGTTTCAAGGAGAGGGATTTTCTACATTTAAACAAGATAACCCCAAAGGCCTCACTGAGCAGGAAACGATTGAGCAAAGACGGGAAGGAGGTGAGGGAGGGAGCCATAGAGCCATATGGAGATCAGGAGGAAGAGCATTCCAGGCAGTGGGAACAGCCTGTGCAAAGGCCCTAGGGTGGCACACTTTGTGTGTTTGACCAGCAGTGAGGAGCCCCATGCAGTTAAAGCAGAGTGAGGAAGTCGGGGGAGTGAGAAGTGAGCTCAGACAGGCTGTGTAGGCTGTGATTAGGGTTGTGGCTTTTACTCTTGGCGCACAGAGTACCAGCCTGCCCTGATTAGGTTTCGCCTGTCACTCTGTTGTGGAGAACGGGCTGAAGGGGACCAGTTAGAACACTATTGCGGATCCTAGTGCAATGTGGCAGTGCAGCCACAGACTCATCTGAGGGTTCGGGGTGATGTCAGCTGATCAGTCTCCCTGAAGATTTAGTATGAGAGTTTTCAGGCTGAGAGCAAAAAAGGGCTACCCCAAGGGCTTTTTTTTGCCCGGTTTTTTCTGATGGGTTGTTACAGTGGTCACCTTTCCACCGTTAGGAAAGTTGATGATGAAGAATTCACCGGAAAAGCCCTCCTGCTCCAACTTTCGGCCTTCCCTTTCTGAAGATAAATTCCATGTTTATGGTGCTGAGTGAAATGCCTATCTCCCTGAGCAGTTCTGAAATTTCCCTTGGTGACCTACCTGGGTAATACGCATCCCAGGGGCCCCAGGCTTTCAGACTTACAGTGTTTCCAGTTTCCTTATCTCACAAAAGCCTTGCAAAAACCTGTGGGGTGAGCAGGGCAGAAATGATAAACTTCAGCCATTTTTCAGATGAGAACACAGACTCATGTGGTCCCATGCCTATCCAACGCCCAGGGTTAGCAAGTGGCACAGTTGGGACTCGAACCCGGGTTCTCTGACCCTCTAGCCAGTGGATTTTCCCTGAGTCACCAGTACCTTCTTCTAAAGCAGCATTTCCAAATAGGGTCTGTATTAGTTTGCTAGGGCTGCCATAACAAAGTGCCACAGACTGGCTGGCTTAAACAACAGAGATTTGTTGTCTTGCAGTTCTGGAGGCCAGAAGTCCAAGATGAAGGTGTGGGCAGAGCTGGTTTTCTCTGAGGCCTCTCTCTTTGGGTTTGTAGGTGGCTGTCTTCTCTCTGTGTGTGTCTGTATCCTAATCTCCTCTTCTTCTAAGGACAACATTTGTATTGGATTAAGGCCTAGTCATATAAGACCTCATTTTAACTTAATTACCTCTTTAAAGCCTCACTCTCCAAGTACAGTCCCATTCTGAGGTCCTGGGGGTTAGGGCTTCAGCATGTGAATTTGGGGGACACAGCTGAGCCCATAACAGATTCCCTCACGTCCCGTCACCTGAGGTGAGCCCCTCTAACGGCAGACGCCACAGCCCTCAGACGAGCCCTTTGTAGGAAAATCATGCGACTGCCAGTTCTCTCTCACTCCTTGCTTTCTTGCCGCAGCTGATCGGGGGCCTGGTCCTGTCGGTGGGGATCTATGCAGAGGTCGAGAGGCAGAAATACAAAACCCTGGAAAGTGCCTTTCTGGCCCCGGCCATCATCCTCATCCTCCTGGGGGTTGTCATGTTCATCGTGTCCTTCATCGGCGTGCTGGCTTCCCTTCGCGACAACCTGTGCCTTCTCCAAGCGGTGAGTCCGCCCCACGCACCCCTCAGCCACTGGTGGTGGTGGGGTCTTTGGCGTCCCCAGGAGAGCTGGGGAGAGCACCCCTGGGCCCTTGGGCGTCCCAGTTATTCAGTCCTTGCCTCAAACCAGCTCTTTTAGAGGGTTTCCTGGGTCAGCCTGTCTGTGCACATTGGCCCAAGAGTGCCCAGCCTCCTCCACTTCTGCGTAGAAAGGCTGATTTGAATACTGTTCTTCTTACTTAAACCCTGTGTTGGTCTGGGCTGTCGGTTGGAGGTGGGAGAAAGCACACTCAAATGAGAGCAAGCAAGACCAAGAAAAGTTGTTGGTGGTGAGTCAGTAGCTCATGTAACCAGCAAGCCCATACTGGGTCCGGGGGTATAGACGGTGCCCTCAGGCTCTCTCTCTTGCCACCTCCCAGCTGGACGCCCGATGCTGTTCTCAGGCTCTCTTTGCAGTGGTGGCCAGCAGCCTCAGGCCAACAGTCCTTATGGTTCTTGATTCCGGGGAATCTTTGCTGGTAACTCTGGCCAAGGTCCTAGGACTCTGCTTGGCCAAGTGCCTGCCCTGGGTTCAGGGGAGGTCAACCCCCCTACCCCCCTTACCGGCAGGAGATGGATGGCTCCCCAAAGTGGGGGATGCCGGGTAGGAGGATCTGTTTTCTGTGCAACCACGTGTGTGTTTGACCTCATTGACCCCCTCACATGGGAAGCCCCTAAAAGCCCCTATGAGGATAGTCTCGGTGCTGCCTGAGCCTGGAAGTTATTGACATCAGTTTGGACAATGCCTGTTTCTGTGATAAAGGGGGGTGTATCCTCTAAGCCTCAGGCATCCCCTCACCCACCCTGGGGTCTGGGAAGCCACTGTGGAGAGCCTCTGCAGGCAGAGCTGGAAATGCTGTGCAGCCTGTCCATCAAGCCAGGCCTGTCCCCTCTGGGTCAGCCAGAGCGAGGACCAGCTCTGCTTGTGGTGGGGGGTGGGTGGAGGGGATTGTGTTTCTCCACCTAGACCCTGCTGGGGACCCCTGGGACAAACCTTGATAACAGTCTGGCTGGGACAGCTGAGTCACTTTTCCTGACCACTAACTCCAGCGACAGGCTTTCCCGGGAATGTGTGTCCACATCCTGTGTCCTCACAGGAGGAAGGGGCGAAAGGCCCAGGAGCCGCTAAGAGCTCCAACAGAGGTGATTTTCTTTATTGCGCTTGACCTTGGAGCAGATGGCACTTCCCCTTCCCCTCTAGGTGAATCTCTGAATTTTGTTTTCCAGTTTATGTACATCCTTGGGATTTGCCTCATAATCGAGCTCATTGGTGGCGTGGTGGCCTTGATCTTCCGGAATCAGGTGGGCCTCTGGCGCAGTTATCAGCCATGTGTATGCTAGTCACCCACTGTGTGTGCGCCCAGGGCTGCAAACTGGGGGTGCAGCAGAGAGCTGGGCAGATAATCCCTCGTGGAACATCCACTGGGCTGGGGCGATGGGCACTGAACAGGTAAACCGGAGAATAAGAAAACAGAACAGGCTGATAACAGAGTTCCTGGGGTGGAGGTGGGGAGGATGCTGCTGAAAAGGAGCCAACCAGCTAAGGCTCAGAGGGAACAGAGGTCCAGGCGGAGGGAGCCACTGAGGCAGAAGGGAGCTTGGCGGGTTTGTGCACAGTGTGGAGGCCGCTTGGCTGAAACAGGTGAGTGATGGGGAGGGGGTAGAAGGTGAAGATCTAGGGCAGATCAGGTAGGGCCTTGGATTTTTGTTTTAAAGGCAGTAGGCAGCCTTTGGAGAGTTTTATGCTGGGAAGTGATGTGATCTGATTCACATTTTACTTGCTGCTGAATGGAGAGTGGACAGTAGGGAGACCAGCTGGGTGGGCCTTAAACACAGGCATGTCTACACCCTTGGAATCCAGGGGTCTTCTTCCTGTTTTGTGATGGAAGGGGAGATTCTCATCATATTGATGGAGTCATTGAGGCACAGAGAGGTTAAGAAGCCCTCCTAAGAGCACACAGGAAGATGGAGGCAGCTCAGGGATGCTTTCCAATCTTTTTTTCAGTTCTTTTTTTCTTCCCTGCCCTAGCTTTATGGGGAATAATTGACAAATAAAATTGTGATATATTTAAACTGTACAGTGTGATGATTTGAGATATGTATACATTGTGAAAGGATTACCACAATCAAGTTAATTAATACATCCATCACCTCAAATAGTTAACTTTTTTTTTTTTGATGAGAATACTTAAGATCTGTTCCCTTAGCAAATTTCAAATGTATAATACAGTATTATTAACTATAGTCAGCATGCTGTACATTAGATCCTCAGAGCTTATTCATCTTATAACTGGAAGTTTGTACCATTGACCAACATCTCTGTATTTCACCCGCCTCCTATCCTCTGGCGACCACTTTTTTACTTCTATGAGTTTGACTTTTTTTTTAGACTCCACATATAAGTGACTCCATATAGTGTTTTTCTTTCTCTGTCTGACTTATTTCACCTAGTATAACCCCCTCGAGGTTCACCCATGTTATCACAAGTGGCAGGTTTTCTTTCTTTTTATGGCTGAATAATATTCCATTATATATACATTGTGCATATATATATACACACATACACAATGGAGAATATATATATATCTACATATCTGTATCTCTCTATATATATATGTATATATCTCACATCTTTATCCATTCATCTGGCAACAGACACTTAACGTTGTTTCCATATCTTGGCAATTGTGAGTCATACTGCAATGAACGTGAGAGTTCTTTTCCTGGCAGATAACTCTTTGAGATAGTAATTTCATTTCCTTTGGATATATACCCACAAGTGGGATTGTACCACATATGGTAGTTCTATTTTTAATTTTTTGAAGAATCATCATACTGTTTTCCATAATGATTGTACCAATTTACACTCCCATCAACAGTGTACAAAGGTTCCCTTTTCTCCTCACCAACATTTGTCTCTAGTTTTTTGATAATAGACCTTCCACCAGGAGTGAGATAATATCTCATTGTGGTTTCAGTTTGCATTTCCCTGATGTTTAGTGATGTTGAGCATCTTTTCATATACCTGTTGGCCATTTGTATGTCTTCTCTGGAAAAATATCTATTCAGGTTCTCTGCCTGTTTTTTACTCAGATTACAGTTGATCCTTGAACAACATGGGTTTGAAATGTGTATGTCCACTTATACACAGATTTTTTTCAGTAAATATAGTACCTGTATTTCATTTTACAGATCTTTAAATAACTAGGTGTGAGGAAAAGTTTATGTTCGGTTAGAGATTACAACATGCGGAGTCAAAAGAACTAGGGTTTGAGTCCCGATTCTATTTAAGCTGTTTTAGCTTAAAACAGGGTGAGTTGCCCTTGGGTGAGTTATTTATCATTTCCTTTGCTTTTGAGGCAGAAATAGCAGTATGCAGATTTTCAACTGTGTTGGGTGTTGGCATCCCTAATCCCTACAGTGTTCAAGGGTCAGCTGTATTTGTTTTTTTTTGCTATTCAGTTGAAGGGCTCCTTGTATATTTTGGATATTAACCTCTTATCAGATATATGGTTTACAGATATTTTCATAGTTTGCCTTTTGACTTTTTTGGTTATTTTGCCATGCAGAAACTTTTTTGTTTGATGTAGTCCCACTTATTTATTTTTGCTATAGGCAACATTGCCTATATGTTTGATGTCAGATCCAAAAACTCACTGCTAAGACCAATGTCAAGGAGTTTTCCCCTGTATTTTCTTCTAGGAGTTAGTTCTACAATTTCAGATCTTATATTTAAGTCTTTCATTCGTCTTGAGTTGATTTTTGTCTATGGTATAAGATAAGGGTCTAATTTCATTCTTTAGCATGTGGATTTCCAGTTTTCTCAACACCATTTATTAAAGAGATTGTCCTTTCCCTGTTGTATATTCTTGGCATCTTTGCTGGAGATTAGTTGACCATATATGTGTGGGTTTATTTCCAGGCTCTCTATTCTGTTCCATTGACCTATGTGTCTATTTTTATGTCAACACCATACTGTGTTGGTCACTATAGCTTTGCAATATTGAAATCATGAAGAGTGATGCCTCCAGCTTTGTTCTTCTTGCTCAAGATTGCTTTGGCTATTGGGGTTTGTTGTGGTTCCATATGAATTTGAGGAATTTTTTTCTATTTCTGTGAAAGATGCCATCTGAATTTTGATAGGGGATCGCATTGAATCTGTAGATTGCCTTGTCCCATTGGTTGTCTTCCCAATCTAGTTTTGCTACCTGTTCCTCCCTTTTTCTCTTTTCTGCTTTTCAGACCATCTGCTCTGGGCTGGCAGTTCCAGGGTATTGGTTCATTCTTCAGCAGCCTTGAGGGGAGAGAGATGTTTATTCCATTTGCGAATGGGGATGCATTTTTGTGCAGTCAGCAGGGCTCCTGGCCAGCCCACAGCTTTCCGGAGTTATGAGTGCTTTACTGACTGGAGCCCAGGTCCAGGCCAGGGTTAGCAGCATCAGTGGTTTAATAAACAATCCCCTAAGTGAACAGCAGTTCTGGTTTCCCAGGTGCTTTCACAAAGGCGGTTGACTTATTTTCCAGTGCCAGGTAGGTCAACAGGGGCTGTGACACCACTCCTTTCCAGGGAGAGAACTGAGCTAAGACGAAACCTCCAGGGACCCTTAGTTCTTACAGCTGAGGATGCCGTGGGCCTGAGGTCAAGGGTGAGAGTTTCCATTATCCCCAAACCCTGAGGGCACCACGGGGTGAAGTGTGTTCCTTCCTCTTGGGTGGGTAGTCCCCTTCATGGGGCCCTGTCAGCGGAAGGTCTCAGTGTGCAACCCAGGAAGGACCTTCACCTTCAGGGCTCTCAGCTCTTTGGAGGCTCATGATGGGCTGTGCTGTCATATGCCCATGATACATAATTCAAAAAATTAAAAAATGAGGTACAAAACTAAGTGCAGTAAGATCTCCACAATGAAAAAAATAGGCCTGGAAAAATCTGGAAGGAAATAGAAATATTAACATATTAATTCATATCTCCTCTGAGGGATGGGACTCTTTTTTTTCCCTAGCTCCCACATTTTCTTTTTCTTTTTTTATAATCAAGGGGGAAAATACCATATAAAGAAAAATGATGTCCCTGCCAACTGTAATGCCATGTGATTTTGTAAAACAAGAAATGGGCCAATGGCGAGGATAGGGAAGGAGCAGCCTGGCTGTTGATGGTGGCAGAAAGGGGCAGCGTATGATGGAGGAAGAGGTGAGGCACAGTCAAGGTCAGGTTCCAGGAGGAGGTGAGTTCCCAACTCCAGTTTTTCTTCACCAAGAGGAGAAGACAGATTTCTCTGAATCACAATGTAATAAGTTCAGTCTCCAGCCCTGCAGGCTACCTCTTAACTCTAAGAATCCACTTGTGGTGACAAATGAGGATAAGTCATCAGGCTAATAACTTCACACAGGGTTCTCAGGAAGGTGCACAGACCATGGCCACTGCCAGGCAGCGAAAGATAAACAGACTCCTGAGTGTAAGGAAGAAACTCTCCATCAACCGCTGCCCCTGGATGAGGTTTCTGCTGCCAGGCATGACCCAGTAGTTGGACTGAAGCAGCTTTTCTGCTTGTGCAGTGTTGAGTGGCCGTGCGTTGGAGAGCTGGGTGCAGAGCTGTTGGCCCCAAGGGCCCGGGCATTAGGAGCAGGAGAAGTGCAGCACCTTGAACCCAGTGGGGGGCAGAGAACCTGAATGACCTCCACAGCTGTCTGGGTCTCACCGCCCTTGACCTGCCATCACCCCAGCTTGTCCCGAGCCTCTCTGGAGGGTGTCGGGGGTTTTGGAGGTGGGCAGCTCCTGACCGTGTGTTCCCAGCGAGGCAGGGCTGAGCAGGGACACCCAGAGGGCACTGGGCTGTAGCTGGTACGTCTTTACCCATCCCCGACCTCCTTCCCTCTACCACCAGAACAGTCAGGGGAGCGACCACTTTCCTGGCCTTGATCAGAGGGTGCTGTGGTCACACCTAACACCAGGCCATGGAATGATGGGCAGCACCCAGCCTGTTTATCATGGCACTGCCACTAGCGGGCTCTGGGTGTGACCATGAGGTCAGGGCAGGGAGAAAGGAGACAGCATGGCCTGCTTGGCTGAGCACCTGAGCATGTATATATCCTTCCCACCCAGAAGAAAGTAGAGAAAGTTCTACACTGTTGTGGACAGATTCCCACAGCTGGTGCCTCCCACTGTGGGAGTGAGAGCTGGAGCCCCAAACACCTGGGAGACCAAAGCATAACCCTCCCCCACCATGGGGATTAATCCTATGACCTCCAGCCGGGTATTCCAGAGAACCTTACAGAGTTTGCACCTCTTTCTTTCTCACTCCCTGGGT